TGTTGGTGCTCTTGTATTGATGATTTATTGTTCATCTAGATGAAATTTTTTATTCATTTGTTTTTAGAATTATATTCAAATGAGTAATTTATATGATTTAGAACATTCTCATTAATTTTTATTATCTCTAAAATCAATGTACAGATTTGAATGCAATATGAGACTAGAAAGAGAAAAGATTTATCTTATTTCTTTTCTTTTCTTTTTTATTTTATAAAATAATTAATTCTCATCTCTTTCTAGTCTCATACTTCATATACATATCCATACACTGACCTGTAGCTAAATTTTGTATACAATATACTGGATTGATGAAACAGGACCAAATACTGAGTATTGTACAATTGATAATAAGAACTGAAAGGGAGAGATATATGATATAACGCATGTCCTAAAATAAATTGCACTAAATTTAGATGCCTTTTTCTCTTATTTTCTAAGCATAAAAAAGGCTCCTTTACATGTTAAAAGATACAGATTCTTAAACGGTACAAAGCTACCAACTTTGTTTTTCAAATAAGCTAATTTAATCAGTGACTAATTTAAAAGATTGACGTATACTTAGCCATTAAGATATGATTTTCTATTCTGTACTGACGTTTATTAATTATTATAAAGGCTTTGCTCATCAAAATCGATGCCAAAAGTAAATAACTTTATACCAGTAAATAGAGAACTTTGTGCTCTCAATTTCTATAATCTTTTTGAAAATTCTTAAGGCTAATGTTTACGAGAAAAAGACTTGGACATGATAACTGCCGGTGTTTTTGAGTGCATTTTGAAAAATCATGTTTTCAAGAGTCAGACGTGTCCCTATGGAAAATTATGCTTTGAATGTAGACATTAGCTTTCAACAAAACTATGCAAAGACTATGTTGAACCTTGAAAATATTTCGATTGATTTGAATTAGAAAATGACGATGGCACACATCTACCACAAGAAGGATATTTTCATGATGTTTTCGCTTTTGTTTACTTCAAAACTGTGACTCCTAATTTTTTTTTCTAACGTTGTGGAGTATGGGTGTAATGGTTGATGTCAGACCACATCGGACCCGGTTCGGATGTGAGACGTTTTGTATGAACTAGGTTCAGGTTCGAGTTCGAAAATTTTGAATCCGATCATCATTAGTAGGTGTGAGTCTTCTCTTCGGTAACATTCACATCCAGACCCACAGAATGGAAGCCCTTCATTTATCAGTAAGCACAAACAGTTGTCTCAAGAAAAAAACTTTTTCTCAGTGAATTTTCGTTCCGAAAACGTTGCTTGAAAAGATATACTTACGTCAACATATTCATTTATGTAGAAAATACAAAAACTTAGAGATTATATTTTTTAGTTATATTCAATTCGTCCGAAATTAGTGAAAAACGATTTTGTATACACTATTTGATATATTCTACAATCTCGACAAATCAAAAACAAAATATTTTGAAGATTTCACAGTTTTGGAACTTTAGAAGCCTAGAAGCATGAGAGATTCTAATATATGAATTCTTCATGGTCGATTATCAAATGTCTATTAGGCTTCAGCTCTGAAGTGATTTATCACTTGGATATGTCTCCTCGTAAGTTGTTTTTATTTTGCTGAATGTTACGTCGATCAGTAGAACTTGTTTGAGAAACAACGTCAACAGTTTTGTAGAGCTCGAAATTCTCTATTTTTAGACATAAGAGAGTTTCTTTTTTGATTACGAAACAAGAGAAAAATGCATTGGGATTTAGTGCAATTTCTTCAGGGACACTTGTTAGAATGATTTGTATTTTTGTTTTTTTGTACTTGTTTTAAATACAATTTTCAATATCTCTGATTAAATCAATAATTAATTTTAAAGAAAATGAATCTATTTACTTCATTATCAAGTGGTTTTACTGGAAATGGATAAACAAATTCTTTCTTATCGACATTTTCTTGTTGTTGAACTGCTTGTTCCATATCAGCAATGACAGCCTAAGTACAATATTCTGATTTCAATGAGAAAATAATTCATAAATATACATACTGCAACACTAGCTGGTGTAGTTGCTACTGCTTCAATGACTGCTGTTGTGTTTTCATTTGTTGTTTGATGTGGTACAGGTGGTGGTGGTGATAAAGTTCTTTGAATACGTCTTGGTTTTGTAAATACAGGCATTCCTCGACCCCATTGTTGCCAATATTGTTGTTCAAGTTTACTTTGTTGTCGAGCTGTACGTCCAGCTATAGTTGTTGTATCTCGTGCATGAACAAAATTCATTTTTGTATTAGCCATTGGATGATTTGATGGTATAATAAAAGATTCTTTATCTTGATTATCATCCATATTAAATTCGTCTTGATGTTCATTTAACTCTCTTTTTATAAGTTCATATTGTTCACGTCCATCTTTATTTAAAATTAATTTAACATCAAAATTTTCATATACAAAACGATTTAATGCTTGTTGAAAACAATATCGTTTACATAATTTTTTATTTGTACCTTGTCCCGAACATATGTAAACTTCATCAATATAAAGTTTACCACGAAATGTTTGTGTTAAAAATGAAGTAGCATGTGTACCATGAGAACTTAATTGATTGGATAAATCATCTGGACGATAATCAATAAATAAACGTTGTTGATTACCAATTTGATATATATGTTCAATAGCATGATCATTTTCATCATTACCAGTACGGTTTTGTGCTGCTTCAATTGATTGCTTAAGTTGATCAGCAAAAGTTCGGAGACGAATAAGTTTTGTTTCAGCAGATTCATATAATATTGATTTTGGATCTATTGTTGCATGTTGAGCCTGTTCAGAAGATATACTCGGTGTTTGTGGCAGTGATACTGCTGGTGGTAGATGAGATGGAATAGATGACGAAAATGAAACAAAATTTGATGAATTGGAGAAAGCTGAATTTCGTGGAACGTTAGACATAGTCGTACTGGAAAAAGAAAAGAAAAGAAGTTTAAGAATGTGCCGAAAAACTCGATGGATTTTGTTGTATATGTAGAAAGAATTTCAAAATTTGTATCTATATCGTCTAATATATGGAAAATTTTCGGTAAAACGTGCATATCTACCATTCATTTCGCTTTGATTTTTTCCATGAGTTATTTTTCTTAATAAGTTCTTTTCAGAACAAATATATATGGCTCTTTCAGCTGACTATTAATTAAAAAGTATTCAATAGATATCTCTCTCATCATATGAGAACAAAAATCAAAAATTTCAGAATAAACTTCAAGGTACCAACTGCATCTATCGCGAAATATTTAGAAGGACCGAATCTCCAAAACCTCCTCTAACAAAATCGGCTTTCTAAAAATTCTATCAAGTCTCGAAACAAAAAATTTTGTTTTACCATCATGTACAGATTCTGAAGAAGGATTTGTATTGTTTGGAATTGATTTTAAACTTCTCATTCGATTAGAAGAATCTTTTTTCGTTTGTATATTCGTACACCATGTCGTTACGAATGGAAAGTAAATCGAATATTTTGAAATATCTAAGCAGCGTCTCTAGAATGCTTACACAGGAGGAACTGAGAAGCAGAATGAGACAAGATGCATGGATGTGATGCTACTTGTCATAGTTGCAGCTTTCATTAGTGACTTAATTTATTTTTGTTTGAATATAGATGAAGTAATAAGAAATTCACTAGTGCACGAAACTAATCCATCTTGTCAAGCGTATTTTGTGTCTCTTTATTAATTGTTTTACTCTATTCTGTCTGAAGAAATGTTCTAACAAATCTGTCTTGTTCTTCCAAAACTCATCGCAATAAACTATGTCTTTGAGGAAGTGCAATTTGTAAATGTTCTTCATTGTTTTCTCAATATATCACTGTATAATAGCCTTCACTGGATGCTACTGTGTCAGTCTAAACAGATCACCTGTTGATAGGAATGAACATTGGTGTACGATTCAAATGGATATTCGGAATACTAAATTCAGTGCTTCTCGCTGCATCTTCCGTAGGAATGGATAAAATGGGGAGGATCTAAACATGATACACAAAGACATATGCAAAAAAAAGCATCGTCCTAAGACAGGAACCGAAATTCTTCGGCCTCATTTCATTCAATTCAATTTTATTCGTCATTCTCGCATTTTTTAAGGCATTGATTAATCGTAGAGTTCGGTGACATCTAGCTAGTTCATGTGAAACTCATGTGTTTAGAAAGAAAACTATTCGAACTGTCTCGATACATATGAATCTAATCGAATTTCTGTTCACATTCTTCCTGTTTAATCTACACATACTTAAAAATGACGAATAACTATCATATCAAATCGTATTGAAAAAGAAAACTATTCATCTATTCATCTTTTGTTGTCTCAATAATTTAATCATTTATTTCTTTTTTTTTGTATAAAAAACGTACTTTGACATAGGTGCATTTCGTTTATTATTTACATCAATTGATTCCTGACTGGTTGGACGTTTAACAGAGGAATTCGAAAGTTTTTCGGAAAGTTGCTCAAGTAATGATTTTAATGGTTCAGAATATTTGCCTAAGAAAAGAAAAAGAAAATAAAAATTCTTTTATATTTTAACAATCTATTCAATTAGATTTATATTATTCAAAAGAATAATTTAACCTACATCCAAGACATTTAGTATTTGCATAGCATTGTGCAAGACATAAAAGTCTTTCTTCATTATAATCAACTCGAAATGCTTCAATAAATTGTTTTCTATAAAACCATTGCTGATCACTTTCATTTATTAAACGAAATCTATCAACATTGAATGGTGTTATCGATTGGTTTTTATCTGTTGTATCCATTAAATTATCATCTATCATTTCTATTAGTTCATCAAACAAACAAAAACGAATAAATCTAAAAAAAAGCTAATTAATCATTATAATCAAATGAAAAACGATCACAAATGTCATTCATATTGTATATGACTTGAATGAAATACAACTAATTAAATAAACATTAGAAATTTAAAACAGAAGAAAAAAAACATTCTTTTTGCACTAAAAATATCATTGATAATAAATAGCATTTGACTTCGCTCAATGTTTTTTCCATTGTTTTATTAAACATTGAAATCTTTCTTTAACAGCATTTGAATAGGATATTCCATGTGGTTGATGACGATTAATCAATGATTGTAAATCAATTTTAGCTCGTTCAACAACCTATTCAAATCAACAAAAGAAAAAAATAAAGACAAATGTTAAATTTTAATAAAAAATAAACTCACATCATCAATCGAATCCTTTGACATATCATATTGCACAGGATCACCAACATGTAAAATTATTTTAGCTGGTATTGGAATTTGAATAAATGTTGCTAGAAACCATACAGTTGAAGCTAATAGAAGTAAAATTGGACTAATATATGGAATATGTAATTGAAGTATATAAGAAAATAAACGACCAAGTCCTAAAAGATTCCAGAACCAAAGTATTGGATTCCAACGCATTTCTTCAATATTCGATATAAATAGAGGAACAATCGGTACTTGCGCATCAATAGCAATATGAGCAAAACCTTTTCCTAGAAATTATAAAATTATAATCGAATGAATTAAATATTTTTCTATGCGAAAAACTTACGTGTTTTAGGCCAACATACTTTATATGCATTTTCATGACCAATCATACCTTCATCTGCTCCACCTGAACAAAAAATACCATTAGATTATCTATTGAAATTATTATATATAGTAAAATAGATTACCTGGCATAACACCTACCCAAAATCCACTTTTTAATAATGATAATGCACTTTTTGGTTCACCTGGTACAGCACCCATTAATCGTAAAACTGGAAAAAATGGTGTTAAACATCGATGCATTAAAGATCTAAACTAATTAAAATAAGACAAAATTTAAAATATAACAATTAAAAAATAATACCGAAGAACTCGTCCTGTCATATGATACATGCATACAATAGTTCCCAATATTTCACCATTATGTGTGGAATGACGAGCAAAAAAAAGACAACCATCATTGGGATCTATTTTGTCAATTCCTTCAACTATTGAACACAAACAAAAGAAAACTTTAAAAATAAATACATTCCATTTATATCATACTTTCAAATCCATGAAAATAAACAAAGAAATAATAATAAACCAACGTTAATAAACGAAAAAACCATGATTCACCAATATATTCATCAGGTAAAAAAGCAAGACGTGTACGAATAGAATAACGACGAGCTTCATTTCGTACTACTGGATCAGAAATAGCGTTATCAATGTTCTTTCTTATATGAATTACGTCCATATTACAAACAAAACAAAAGATACGAATATTTAGTAACTATCTAAAATAAATCAAAGATATTCAGTTATATGTATTCTATATTCCATACAACATTGAAGAAACCATGGTAACAACATTAAATAGAATGATGAATATTATAATAGACAATAAGAAAATACAACAAAAAAAACAAAATTCTTCTTTCTTTAATTTTCTGTCGACGACACACCGATTTGACAACAGAAAAAAAATAGAGTAAAATAATTTTTTTTGTTAAAGATAATCGACAAAAATACAATCATAATGTAGAAGTATTTATTTGAATAGGTGAAAAAAAAATTGCTCGATTTGTTTTTTTTTTTATTATTCGAATGATCAGTTTTTAATAAATTGGCCGTTGTTGATTGTTATTAGTGCTCATTGCATCATTGATACCGGCTGTTGCTACTTCACGAGCTGCTCCACGAACAGTTGGACTGAAAAACATAAAAAACTTGTAATTTGTTCTTTTTTCAGTTTTTTTTATTATTTACTTGTTCACAAAAGCTGATTGAAATTCACGTTGAGCTTGTTCAAGACTAGCGCCTGATTGTCTATATAATCGATGAACCTAAAGAAAAAGAAAAATATCAATGCATAATGCTCATTAATGTATATAAAATAATTTCAATAGCATGATTATGAATTATACAGCAATTTGTTTTATTTAAACAAATGGCAACCAGCCATATACCCTTATGGTAAGAAGAATAGCTATTACGGATACTATTGACCATAAAGAACCAAGAATGATCATCATAGTGCCAACAACTTTATTTGTTGACATTATACCAAGACGAGCAAAACCGCTAGATTCAAACAAAATATTTTTATACGTTTTAAAATAAAAACACATTGAAGAAAAATATTTGAGCATTTACAATTATGTTTTTTTTTTATACTTCACCTTAATCAATAATAAACCACCGGCGACAGCAATTAAAGCAAAGCTGAATGTAACAATCATAACTATGAGACCAACTGCGACTTTGCTTCCACCTGCCGCGAATAACTCAATCATAAGTATGAAGCCACTAGAAAAATACACACATAGCAAAAATTTATTTATTTAATTTCGAATCATTGTTGATTAGTTATAAAGCAGCAGCAAAAACAACAAAGCACCCACCACATGCCCGCTATGATTCCAATTGCAAAAAGAATATTGTTAACAATGAATATAATATCAATGACGAAGAAAAGCATGAAGTAAATAGAACTGTCAGTTCTAAATTCAAGTTAAATATATGTCATTTACTCAAATTCATTTCAAATTCTTTTCTTTTTCTTATGTTCATATTTGAAATAATTAAATTATTAATTACAGAATTTATGTCAAAGCAAAAAATTGTTATGTTTATGAGAATAGATTTAAAATAAAAATGTAACTAAGCAGGTTAGGTTAAGTGAAATAAGATCATGCAAAGTGCAACATATGCAAAAGACAACAATAAATAACATCTATTTTCAATTTCAAATACAAAAACTAGGATGATTTAAAGAATTATATCAATTCATCCTATTTTCTGCTTAGTTTCTTTTTTTATAATTGAAAATAGAATATATTACCATCCGAATTTAGCAACACCAAGAAATTGTAATATTGTTATGATAAGTTGTATGAAGAAGATCATAAAAAAGATCATAAAATTTGCTGCACTGTCTTCTCTAGATTAATTTAGACAAAAAAAAAAGAAAGATTATGTTAATTAATTTTAAAAATAAAAATAGGAACAAAAGAATAATAAATAATTTCAAAAAAAAGCTGATTAGTTCAATTAAATTAAGTTAGTTTTTTTTCTGGGTTCTTTTCTCTCATTACCAAAAATCTAAAATTTTCCATGCCACTACCATTCAAACAGTTATACATGTTTGAAAGAAGAAAATAAGAAAAAAAAAACAAAAGATAAAATTTATTGCATGATCACTTCTAAAATATTTTTGTTTCTTCAAATATTTTATTTATTCAAACTAAAGACTAACCTGAATGCTCGATAAATTGGTCGAAACCAACAAATATACGATCCCGGTACAAAAAGAAAGAGATAGACAAGTGATAAACCAAATGTTGTTGCACCATTCTTATCAACCACTTTAGAAAATGAAAGAAAATTGATATTGTTTTATATGTATATATTTTAAATCATTTTTATTTTACTAACCAAAATAAGATAATGCAGCAATCATATTTAAAAACAATGTAGCCGAATAAACTAAACACATAAAATGTAATTTAAAAGAAAAAAAAAATATATATATATGAAAACACATACGTAACCATAAATAGTAAAGATATCGAACCCAAATTTGAAATTCACTCGGAATTTCAATACTTATATCTTGATAAAAACATGGTCCACATGGACAAAATTTTGGTAATGGTGGAAAATTTTTCTCACGTTCTAAAATAAAATACATTCAATTTGATAAACAAAAGCAATGAATTATCATGTTTTATATATTAAATAGTTTTTCTTTTAATCCTAATATGAACAACTTGGTTCGTCCATCTGAAATTCGCACAGACTGCAATTGATAAAATAAATACAAAAAACACGAACTTGTTACTCTTAGTTTATCATGGACATAGATAAGGAGTTAAACTGAACTATATTTATTTAGTCTATGTTTTATCATTCTCTATTTTTGAGACGTTTAAAATTATGTATCACTATTCAGTATTTACATACACGTGAAACTGCTGTAAATAAGCAGAACAGTTACGTAGGATAGACTAATGTTATCAAGGTGCTATACTAAGTGGCTCCAATGTATATCTAAAAGAACATAGTTCGATTACATATTATGAATGCACACCATAACAATAAATCTCACTGAAGCTTGAATGAACGACATGTAGTCAATAGTGACGGTGTCCTTTTTCTCAGCTCCTTGTGATCAAAAAACCTGCTAATAGTCAACAAATGTTCACATCAATAAGAGTTGAGCGTAATATTCGCATACTCTACTACTTTTCACCAGACTATATCTCGAAGATGAACGATTTCATCTAACACTGTCATAAAGTTGGTCGGGAGTCTGTAAGGAGCTCAAGCCATCGTGCCAATGTTAATAAAATAAAAAGACATATATGATACCACTTTAATATAATAATAGTACTAAATCACATCTATCATCTGTTAACGGATAATTTTACCATCAAATCAAGTGCAAAAAAAACAAAAAGAGAAATGTTATTAAAAATTAAAATAATATGTTAAAATATAAATAAATTTTCTTGTTAAATTCATATTAAAAATTGCTCATTCATTTTTTTCTATATTAAAGTATGTGTTTTTTTTTGCTTCATTATCTTCTTCATCGAGGTTTGTATCACATGCAACAACAAAATGATTACTCATTCGTAAGTCAATTAGTCATAATGTATACAAACAAAAAAAATCTAAAAACTTAGATTTCAAAAAAGATTTACTTTGAATCTTTGTTGGATCTGTTAATGCACGTTCACGTTCTGCAAGTCGTTTTTCACGTTGTTCAAGTTCAGTTTGTTGTCGTTCATATTGACTAAGATCAACACGTGTTGGTGCTTGTTTTGTATCAGTACGATAGGTTTCTGTTGATTGTTGAACAGGATTAGGTGTTTGTGCTGGTGCATAAAATGGTGTTTGATATGATGCAGGTTGTGTTGGTGGTAAGACAGCAGCTATATTTGGTTGTTGTGGAGGTGAAACAGGCTTTAAAAAACAAAACGAAGATAAATAAATGAAGTTTCAATAGAAATAATTGAAAATATACTTGAGGTGTTGTAGTTGTTTTTGCAAATGGATTATATTCATTGACTGCTGGTTGATTCGCACTAAAATGTATTTTAATTCATAAACTAGATGATAACGAAAAAACAAAGTTACAAACAATGAAGATGCTGTTGCTTGTCGAATTGCCGAGTCAGCAAATGGATTATAATCTTCATTATAACTCATTTTGTTTTGTAATGAATGTAAATAAAATTTGAAAGAATCTAAAAAAAAAAGACAAGAAAAAATATTTTTAATGTTCTAGTGACTACAACTTAAATATAGATATATATATATATACATGATGAGAATAGAGCTTATCAAATACATGTTGTTTTTTCAGTATGCAATGCATCAAAATTTATCAAGCGCCATCTACAGAATGAATAATGATTGGTATTCATATGTATGCATTCAGTAATTTCATTAATTCAATTCAATTTTTATTTCATTTTGTGAACTATTATGAATTCTATAACGTAAGTTTATTAATTCGATAGAAATCTTTTTCTTTGTTTTTTATTTTCAGTAAAGCACGTTTAGTTAATCAATTAAATGAAAAAGAATTACAAAGTGGTTCAGCTAATACAAATAAAAGTTGGCATCATGTTTATCGTGAGAGTGCATGGATTTATGTTGGTGGTTTAGATTTTGATTTAACTGAAGGAGATATTGTATGTGTATTTTCTCAGTAAGAAATCTTGTATTTTTTTTTACGAAAAAAAAAAATTATATATATATCGAATTTGTTGTTTGTTATTTAGATGGGGTGAAATAGTTAATATTAATTTATTACGTGATAAAAAAACTGGTAAATCAAAAGGTTTTGCATTTATCTGTTATGAAGATCAACGAAGTACAATATTAGCTGTGGATAATTTTAATGGTATTGAATTAGCTGGTCGAGCAATACGTGTTGATCATGTTAAAGATTATAAACCACCTAAAGAACATGAAAAAGATGATGATCTTATTAAAACATTGAAAGAACTTGGTTGTGCACCTGGAGTTGAATTACCATCTTCGTCAACACGACAAAAAGATGAAAAACCTTCAACCCATATTAAACAAGAGCCGAAACGATTTAAAAAATAAAATAATCTGTATATTTGAAAATAAAAATTACTTTTTGTTATTTAGTTGTTTCTTTCATTAGAGATAGAAAAGAAGAATAGATCTCATAGTAGATGTTCTCTGTTAGCAAAGAATAAGTTCTATTCGCTCAATCAATTAGTTCTATTAAATAATATTGCACAGTCAACATGTGTGAAGTCTCTTATCAGGGAAGTCCTTCAACTATCCTTAGTTTATTCGTGTGAAGAGATTGCAATTTTATGGTTGCTTTTAAGTCAATGTCGTGGTACAAGAGAGAAAAACTGATTTTCAAATATCGGCTCGAAACTTTTGCATAAAATCAGGTCTTAACAAAAATAGTTCATTGTGAAAATTTTAGATCTTTTAATATATTTTTATTTTATGCAAAGTCTGAAACATTCATATTTAAATGTTTTCGTTACAGTATGCTTCTATGTAGAGTTACAAGTCGAAATTCAAAAGTCAGTTTTTCGGTCACTACAACATTCATTTCAAAAAATCCTGTAAACGCGCAGCATCTCCACAGCAGTAAGCTAAGGTCATGAACTCTTTTTTTCAGATTATTAATAGCTCATTTGGATCTACATAACATCGATTCAAAAGCAATTTATCCGATGGATGACATTCTTTCTTCAGTTCATTTTGGCAAGAGATAACGCAATGAGTCACATACCTATCTTTCTCATTTTTATTGTCATTCTAGGATATCAACAAATTTCTGAGTAATTGATATTGTTGATTCTACGTAACTTTTATTTATTTAGAACAAGATCCAACTAAATTTCATAGTTTATCAACTATCGTTTATTTTACATTAAAAAAATGACCTAGATATGAATCATTTTATTTTTTGATTAAAGAATTTCATTGATTAGTCATAGATCATTACAGAGTAGAATACTATTTCATTATAATAAAATCATTGATCCTTGAACTGAATGAAAGTATCTAATACAAGGGTGTGATCTTCTTCCTATCTGAGTTACGCTTCTGATTCAATAGTTTAATTTCTTTTAGAGAAAAAGAAAATAGCATTACAATGGTTGTTTTTCATTGTGGAAGCTGTGGTGAAGCACTCAAAAAAAATCAAGTCGATAAACATCTAGCAAGTACATGTCGACGAGTATCAACACTCTCTTGTATTGATTGTGGAAAAGATTTTACGTATGATATCATTTATTTGAATTATTTTATTATTATTTATATCATCTTTTTTTTTTGTTCTTTATTTTATTAGACGTGATTCGTATAAAGAACATACAAAATGTGTTAGTGAACAAGAAAAATATGGTGGTGCAAATTATACAGCACCAACAAATATGAATAAAGGTGAAAAGAAACAAAATCAATGGTTTGAAATAGTTCAATCAGCTATTAATCTTAATTCTGGTAGTACACAAGCAAAAATTTTATTAAAAAAACTTCAATATTATCCAAATACACCACGAAAACGTGCAAAATTTATTGTAAGTTTTTCTCCTTTATTTTTTGAATTATTTATTGAAAATAATCACTTCGAATATATAGAATTTCGTTAATAATTCAATCAAAGGTTTTCCACCTCGAGTAGTCGAAGAAGTTTGGTCTATACTTGAAACATTATTACCAAAGGTAAATATTATATTATAAACTATATATGAATGTACATTACGGACCAAAAGTAGCGACACTAAGTGAAAGTTAGTACAACTCCTAGCGTTTGAACTGAAATTTTTTACTACAAATAGAGCTCGGTAGACGTTGATCCTAGACACCAATTCACATTCAATAGAATGGCAAATAACTGAGTGCTGGATCAAACATTAATTTGACCTTAGAACATTGAGATCTCTACCATTCGAACATCTTCATTTATGTGAGGATTCTCATTCGGTAGTTGAACATCCAGCCTTCTATCGTAAAGATCCTCTACGAAATCATTTTTGTCTTCTGAAGTTCTATAGTTGTATTTGAGAATCATTTATTACAGGGATATTAATACCTTTAGATAAATTAGTTACAGCTCATAGATTTCATCCGTTTTTTTTTCTGAAAATTTTTAAAGAATTTTCAGTAGCCCAAGAAGTTTTCCAACAAAGTAAAGATTAACATCTACTGCTGAACAGATGTTATCGAAGAAACTTGATACCAATCGTGAAAAACTCATTACGGAAAAAGGTTTTAATTCAAAACAAATATTTAGGTCACGCAAAAAACGAAAATGATGTAGAGAAAAAGTTTTCGCTGACTCTTTCTGGTTTCATCAATTGAAAGTTAAATTTTGATTGATAAATGAAATACTACGTGTAATGAGTCTTGCAGTGTGGTTATCAAGTTACTTCGATTTTCAAATACAAACATAGAACTTGACAATGAAAAAGTAATTTCATAAAAAAATCTTTACAATAAAAAGGCTAGATGTTCGGATGATAGAGACTCGATTCGTGTATCTTGAAGTCAAAGTAGTGTTTGAGTCACAATTTAGTTATTTGATATTCGCTGAGTGCGGATTGGTATCTAGAACCGGTACTTACTGATCTCTATTTGTGATAAAATTTTTAGTTCTACTACTCGAGTTTTCGGTTATTATTATCTAATATCGTTACTTTTGAACAGTAGTGTAAAAGAAAAAACAATCTGATGTTCTCCTTATTCATAGCCTTCAAATAATGAAATCAATCAAACGAAAAATACTGATACTGAAAATCAAGATCAAAATATATCCGAAGATCCTATTAAGAATGAATATGTTGCTGAAAAACAATCGAAACGAAAAATTAATGAAGATAATGAAGAACCTTTAAAAAAGCAAAAGACCAATCCTGAAAATGAAATTGTTCAAGATGATAATAATCAAGCAGTACCATCAAATCCTCGTTTTGAATGGTATGATGAAATTAAACTAGCATTAAGCAAAGCAAATGATCAAACACTCACTTTAGATGCTTTAAAGAAAAAGGTAGTTATACAAACAAAATATCGGAAACGATTTGATTAATAGAATTTCTGTTTTAGATTTTCAAACGTTATAAAAAATTGAAACCAGATCAAGATAAAGAAGATGATTCTCTCTTTAAAAAATTGGAAAAGAAAATTCAACGTGCACCATTTGTTCAACAAATTGAAGAAAATGTGTATCGATTGTCTGAATGAATGGGTTTTGTTTTTCATGTTAAAAACTTCGTTGTTATACTTGAAATTTCTCAAAAATTGATATGTTCTTGTAATTTTTGAGAATCTTTTTCGAGATAAATAAATACATGAAACCTAATGACAATATCTCTTAATTAAATGTCATTCGAAGTGTAAGAAAAAAATTGAGTGATATATGAAGCCAATACGTTGAAACTAATTTGAGTTTAGTGTTAATCGAAGAATGACTGGTTGTAGAAAAAAAGAATCCTAATATGAACGCCTACTCTAAACAAGTGTGCAGATATGCATAGGATTCTTTAAACAGGATAGATAACATGAAGAATTGAGATTTCTCAAGGTTTTCATCTACTGCTTTGAATGATTAAATCGAACAATTCTCTCTTTAATATCGTTCAAGGTTTGTTCAATTCATTTTTTTTAGAAAAGAATCTATGAATAGAAATAATATTTATGAAATAGTTTTGTAAGCCGATGCCGATGAATGTATTTTATTGCTTGAATAGGAAAATAGTCGGAAAACTCAATTCTTTTTGAATAAAACACTCATATGTGCCTAGATTTTTTTTTTTTTGAGTAAACATAATGTTTATTACGTCCGTAGACGCTTATAATACAAGTGCCTAGATGGTATTGAAGTTTCATTTGGTTGCAAAATGTGGTGCGAAACTTTCAATGTTAATTGATGGAGAAATCAATATTTTATAAGAAACGAATAGTCGTTTGGAGGATTGAATATAATCCGATGTTTTACGGAAGATAACCATACTATACTGGAACCAGGGCTTCTTTCTTTGTTGCTATAAAGCGAAAAAGTTACGTTTCGATCAATCAAATAATCTGAGTGAGAAAGAAACTGAGAAATGGTCACTAAGAAATCATTAATAAGCGAATTCCATTAAAGATTCATAGTTGTCTTAGCTATAAGCGACGAGCGTGGCGGCTAACTTAAGCTTGCATTTTTGAACAGCTTTCTGTCAGAGAATGGAATATCGTATTACAGATCAGAAAATTGATGCTATCGATTCGATCATTAGATTTGATTCTCGCGCTTGATCAAGTATTTGTGGGTGTGCAATGTGGATGTGATTCTTTCTTTTACTCACACACACCCCACAGACACATCCATTCACATCCTAAACTTTAATTTATAACGATATCATTATGTAGAAAAGGAAGTAAGCAGAACTACCATCTTATAGTGTCACAAGACAACGAACGAGTGATAGAAGTGGTTCATGGCAACATGACTTTATACGACGTCTGAAAGTTTTTTCTCTCCTTCTTATGTTATTATAAATAGATTCGCACACAGAAGCTGAATAGTGTGCATTGTTGTTTGAACATGCATCTTGAATTCTTATTTCAGTAGGTTTTCTTCCTGCTCAATTGAGAGTCCAATATCACATGAAGTCGACGAAAGCATAGTTAGATGATTGCTACCGTTGTAAAGAGTGTTTTTTTAGACGAAACATCAATCAATGCTAATATAGGAATAGAAAAGTATTTTCTATTGCATCCATGTTCTCAAGCTATTCTTAATGAAAAACTAAATGTAACTATCATCATTAATTTGTTTTAAACAACGAGACATAATGCCTATGATATTTTCCCATTGTTATTGGATTATATTGTTGTAATTTATATCCAGTTTCAAAAATAGTTCATTTGGTATATTCATTCCGAAATCCAAACTGATTTTTTCAATTATGAGTTTATAAATCTTCTGAATTGAGAGTGTGAGTGCAGGTCTTCATAGCAACATTCGATCGATTCATTGTTGTTGTTGAAACTCGTTTCCATTATTTCACAAAAAACAGTTCCCACCTCAAAAGTCGTCATTTTGTGGAGCGAGCTGAGAGCTAACA